AGAGAGAGAGAGAGAGAGAGAGAGAGAGAGAGAGAGATGCTTCACGAAAATACTTTTTCAACCTATATCAAATAAATACAGTTCATGATTTCATTACGTTTATAGTTTTATGTCAGAATATTGCATACTACCAATAGCAGCTGTCCCGACAGTGCCAATGTAATAGGTTTACAGACTGCAAATGTAGAAACGAATTTGTCTGGAGTCATTTATGTGCATATTTATCAAAAGTGCTAATTTCGCAATGTTCACCTTTAAATGAAATACAGGACGTCCTCAGTGCAATGCAGAACAAGTGTAAAAAGTACTGCACAGAATGAACGACATGAAACACTTTAATCATGTGTTTTTACGGAACGTGTGAAAGAAACAGCTTTCATTCAACACAAACTACAACTTCCATATCTTCATCAAATTCGTACGTTTCCGCGTGCGTTTGGACGCAACGCGCCGGAAGGCGTGTGTGCACTGCGTCTCCGCCGTCAATGCAAACGAAGTAAGAGGCACCGAGAGTCGAAGCTAAAATCCGCATTCAAGACAAGATGGCCGGGCTGCCCCGCAGGATCATTAAGGTAACCGTGAAGTGAGACACACTACACATTTTTAGCCACTCTTTTTAAATCGTAATACCACGAAATCCTCAAATATCATTGAAACGATCAGCCAAAGAGAAGCGACAGCTGGCTTAGCGTTTGTTAGCCACTTCCGTTTCGGTACATTCACTCGTATCCCGAATATGGGTGGGTTAAAAATACATTCACCGCTGTGAAAGATGGCGACAGGCCTGCGTCTTATTCATGGCTACTTTGAACCCAGAATCAAAAGCATTAAGAAATGACAAACGTTCTCACACTAACTGAAGTCTAAACGGTGAGAGAGGCACGCATTGCATGCGCTCGAGCTGCTGTGTGTGAGCTCGCGAGCTAACCGCTCCAGAGACGGCTAGCTAGGCGTAAAACGTAATAAAATGATCGAATTTAAGCAGTCACACAATTATTTACTCAACGAATTCACTTCTAGACAGTCATATGTTTATTTTAGTGCGTGCAGGATGATTATCTGGCCATTTAGGATACGATTATAAGCTAAAGAAGTAGGCTCTCCTGCTTCCTGTGGGCTAGGGAAGCTGTCGCGGTGCTTCTGCCGCTAAATGAGCTAATGACGGCAGGCCCCAAACAGCAGAAATGTCAAATAAACAATATAAGAGAATTAAAGTAGACAATAATTGAAGAACAGCACACTCTAAATGAGAACTGCCTTTTATTGTAACAAAAAAAGTAAACGTGTAACAAAAATTAATATTTCAATCGTCATCGTTTATTAACCCTTGTGTAGTTCTAAACCAAAAACAAAAGGTGTATGTCAGTCTGGAACACGGAAATGTTAGACAAAATGAAAGTCTCAGTCTCCATCCACTTCATTTTGGGGATGTGATATTCCTAATTGCCTCCTTTTGGGTTCCACAGAAGAATGTGACACTTTTTTTTTTGGAACAACACAAGAATTAGCAAATAATTACATTTTTCTTTTTATTTAATGTTTTTAAAAACTCCAGTGAACAGATTTATGGCTAGTGAAATGACACCAGCTGCTTCCTCCTGATAATATCTTGAATGCATGTTTCCGCATATTTAAGAGAAATCTGATTCATTAGATAAGGCCCTGGTGCAACCTCGGTGCATCTGCATTTTTTGGGTATATTATACATTTTTCTCACTTTGCATTGTCCACTTCTGCTATTATCCAGTGCCTAAACATATTGCACTTCCAGGATTTTTTGGTCACAGGGATGATACTGTTGAATTCATTGCATCTCTAGTTGGCTGGGAAATTAACTGACTAATTTGAGTTGGAGGGCTGGGAATGCATACTTAAAGGATTAGTTCACTTCCAGAATAAAAAATGTCCTGATAATTTGCTCACCCCCATGTCATTTAAGATGTTGATGTCTTTCTTTCTTCAGTCAAAAAGAAAATAAGGTTTTTGAGGAAAATATTCCAGGATTTTTCTCCATATAATGGACTTCAGTGGTGGCCAACAGGTTGAAGTTCCAAATTGCAGTTTCAGAGCAGCTTCAAAGGGCTCTACACGATCCCAGCTGAGGAATAATGGTCTTATCTAGCGAAACGATCGGCTATTTTCTAAGAAAAATTTATATACTTTTTAACCAGAAATGCTCGTCTTGCACTAGCTTGACTTCACGAATTACGTAGTCACATTGGAAAGGTCATGCGTAATGTAGGCGGAAGTACCGACTAGGGCTGCACGATAAATCGAAATGGAATCGAGATCCCGATTCGACAGAAGCTGCGATTGTCATGCGTATCTTTCAGTGAGTGAATCACGGTTCTGTGATCAGCAGTAAATCTCCATCCAAAGGATGTTCTTATATAATAATAGTTCTTATTATTATAATTTTCATTAAAATAAAGTATATTTATAATGCAATGCCTTTATCACTGCTTAATTTCGATTAATCGTGCAGCCCTAGTACCGACCCAGTGTTTACAAAGCGAACGTGCAACAAAAGTCAAATGCCCTTTACAAAAAAAGGTAAAACAACGATGTTGGACAGTTTTGAAGTTGGAGGACAAAATGAGATGGAGTTTTTCACCCTACCCTACCTTTTTGAACTGGAGTACACAGAAGAAGCGCTAATCGCGCATGACCTTTCCAACGTGATTACATAATGCATGACATCACGGACGCGCATCGCAGAGCAAGTGCAAGACAAGTATTTACATTTTTATTTTAGTTTTTAGAAAAAATCAGGTAAGACTCTTATTCCTCGGTTGGGATCGTGTAGAGCCCTTTGAATCTGCATTGAAACTGCAATTTAGACCTTTGACCTGTTGGGTCCCATTGAAGTCCACTATATGGAGAAAAATCCTGGAATGTTTTCCTCAAAAACCTTAATTTCTTTGTGATAGAGGAAGGAAAGACATGAACTTCTTGGATGACATGGGGGTGAGTAAATCATCAGGAAATGTTTATTCTGGAAGTGAACTAATCTTTTAATGTCCCCCAAGCATGAGACCATGACAGGGAGCCCCTCTTGTTTGTTTGCTCTGTATGGTTTTGTCTGTGGGTTAACTGAAAAAATGTGGGGAATTTCATTCTGAGTACACTGTATATGCTAAGTTAACTGAAATAACAGTAAAGACATTTGTGCCTAACGTTAACATTATCTTTAAAGGGGTCATATGATGCTGCTAAAAAGAACATTATTTTACAAACAATAAGTGCTACTCCACACTGCCCAGAACTCGCGTTTGAATCATCAGTGGCAAATCGTTTAAATGAAAACGTACTTGCCGCATCATATGACCCCTTTAAGAAAAGTTTTTAGGAAAAATATATATGGCTGTGTTTAGGGTAAGAATTTAATATTTTTTATTTAGCACGGACAAATTAAAATGATCAGAAGTGACAGCGAAGATTTATAGTATTGCAATATATACAGTGGGTACGGAAAGTATTCAGACCCCCTTCAATTTTTCACTCTTTGTTATATTGCAACAAGTCCAATCAGTATAATCAAACACAGCTGGACTCAAATGAAGGTGTAGAACCATCTCAAGGATGATCAGAAGAAATGGACAGCACCTGAGTTAAATATATGAGTGTCACAGCAAAGGGTCTGAATACTTAGGACCATGTGATATTTCAGTTTTTCTTTTTTAATAAATCTGCAAAAATGTCAACAATTCTGTGTTTTTCTGTCAATATGGGGTGCTGTGTGTACATTAATGAGGAAAAAAAATTAACTTAAATGATTTTAGCAAATGGCTGCAATATAACAAAGAGTGAAAAATTGAAGGGGGTCTGAATACTTTCCGTACCCACTGTATGTTTCAAATAAATGCTGTTCTTTTGAACATTCTATTAATCAAAGATTTCTGAAAAAATTTATATTGATAATAAGAAATGTTTCATTCAGCTTTGCGGACACAGGAGTAAATGTAGATTTTAAGATATATAAGAGAAAAGTTTTAATTTTAAATTCAAATTTCAAAAACTTAAAAAATAAGTGTGCCACCCCCAAACCTTTGAATGGTAGCATATATTGGATCTAGATTTTATTTATTTATTATTTTTTTGTAAATCAGGATTATAAAAATACCTTATGCTAGTTTTGTCTAGTTTAAAAACTGGAAATTCTTGTAGAAGATTCTTGTTTTACAGGATTATATAGCCATAGAACCCTCATCCTTTGAAGTAGGTTACAGGACAGGTGTGGTAGCTTTTGGAAATAGGTTTGGGACACTGAGATTGTAATATCCACTTTTTGGTGTGAGTTCTCAGATTCTAAGTAGACAATCTTTCAGGTGGAGTACAGAATAGTACAGCATTTCTCAGATGAACAATGTCTCCAGACTCAAGCATTCCACAGGTGATATCAGATTCTCATTAGTCATATGGGTGTGAGTTTCCAAAGGGCTTTAAGGTTCAGCCCTGTGTCTCTCTCACGGGACGCAAAGTGTCTGTCTTGATTGGGATTTAATGACTGTCAGTTTAACCCTTGAAGACTTGGTTTCAGATGAAATGCCGGGTATATACAGTACATGATTTTATGCCAGATTTTCACAAGCCAACAGTTTTCTGGAGGTCGGTGACAAAAGCCCAAAATCTGTGGCAAATTGGTGCTTGTTCATATGAGTAACAAAAGATGTGATCTGAGAGAATCGCCGATGTCGCATATACCTGAGAAATATTTAGCAGGCTAAATATCTGGGCCTGTCTACGACTCTGTCTTGCAGTGTGAAATGTTTTTAGAGGAAATGACATCAGCCTGCAGCCAATGAGAGAGCAAGATACGTGACAAGGGAAATTTCAGGGGGAGGATTCATCTCCCCAACCATTCTCTCCTCCATATTCTTCAGTTTTTATTTTTATTTTTTTTCGCTGCAAATAAGGGCACAGTCAACCTGCACAGTCAACCACCATTTTTAATTTGGAGGAAGTCCAGTCTTGTGCCAAAATTTCACTCGCATATCATCTTATGTTATTTTTTGTATCACTTCTCATGCACGAGTTGTTGGGGTTTCTTCCTAGTGAAATATTTTGTAATGTGTGACCCCCAGTTGCTGATCCATCGTTGAGGCTACGTTCACACTGCGAGCTAATTTTTTTGTAGCTGTTCACATTGTTGTTTTAAATGTGGCCAATATCAGATTTCCAGTGTGAACAGTAGGGCTGGGCGATATAGCTAAAAAAACGTATCAACGATATAATGTTTCATATCGTTCAGTATCTATAATTATTGAAATTTTTATAACCCTTTTTAAAACCAAGAGCAATAGAAATGTTTTCTTTATTTAACCACAATATTTTTTAAATTTACTAAATTTAATAAGACAACAAATATTTGTTTTGTTTTGTTTTAACAGTCCAAAACTAAATAAAATATAAACAAATACCTCCTTTCTTATGTTTTATATGCAGATTAAATAAGTTTTAAGGAAACTTTTGTCTTGTCTCCCGAGGCCACAGGAGGGCGCAATGAGCAAAATAATGCAGCGCATTAAATTTATTTATAAATAACATAACGTCTAAATTAACATATATAAATCAAATATAATTTCGTAAATTAATATTTTGAATGCATAACGCAGCAGCGGCACATCTCGTGGGCTAGACTAACAAAACATTAAAATGTCACTTACATCATCACCGCATCTCGTGCACCACTGATAAGGCTCCTGGACGCACACAGAACATTCGATAGCACTGTTTTTGCATTCATATGCAATTTTTTTTATTTTAAATTCGATATATAATATTAATAATAATAAATATAATATAATATAATATTCTTTATTCACAATCTCCTCATCACAGGCAGGCACAGCACTCATTACAGCATGTGTTTGTGTGTGCTGTCTGCGTCACTCATAGCACGTGCCTATATCGTGCGCTATATCGAACATTTTTTCTATCGTTATCGATGGTGTACCATTGATAAATACCGATACCGTTTTAACGCCCAGGCCTAGTGAACAGAACATGGTTCTGAACTGACCTGCATGCGCAAAAAGAACAATACGAACAGAGTTGCCAGGTTTTCACAACAAAATCTGCCCAATTGCTTCTCAAAACTAGTCCAAAACTAGCCCAATCGTGTTCGTGGTGGTTAATATATTGCGTTAGTGGGGTCACTTTAACCCACGGAGTGAGCCCGTGGCAGCAATGAAAAGGTATCCCAATTCTGCAGGAAAATTGTGGACTTGGCAACACTTGCGCAGCGCGTTGTCATACGGAAGTAAACACGGAGGACATTAAGTAAGCGATTATGCGTTTATTTATAGTGTGATCTGCCGCAGAAGCCAGCAAAATTATGCGCAGGCAATATGAAAAATAAAGACAAGGATGTGACAGAAGACTGCAGAGTTTTGAAGCTTTTATGATACGAGCCCTCATGTTTTGCTTGTATATAGATTTTGTCACTGCAATACTTATGAGTTCTGACACATCACTGTTAGGGCTGGGAAAATAAATCGATGCATCGCGAATTGAGAAATGATTCAACATCGATTCTGAGAATGCATCGCGATTCTTTCTTGAGTCGATTCTGAGCTTAGTTTTGAACAGCAGATGGCACTGCATGCTTTAGAAACAGCCGTACTGTGCTTGTTTCCAAATCCTTACACACACTTAAACCTAAAATAATAATTCATAAAATTCAAAAAGGTTGAAGCGAATTACAAGGGTGTTCACAGTGGGCTGTTTACATGCGCCATCTGCTGTTAAAATCTAAGCTCCGAATTGATTCCAGAGGAATCGCGATGCAGTCCCAGCCCTAATCACTGTACTTCCACTGACTACCTTTCGCAACTGTCTTGATAACTTTGGGTATGTAAAAATCTTTGAAGTGACTCCCATGAGCGCAGAATCGTGACGAATGTTGATCTAGAGTGATGTAAAAGTCGCATGAATTCCGATATGACTGTTCCACTGCGGTCGCATTCCAAAACATCTGACCTGTATCGGATTTAGTACCACATAAGGAAGTGGCACAAATCGGAATTGAAAAGATCAGATTCCAAGTGGTTTGTGCTGTTCACACTGTCATGAGAAAAACAGATCTGAGGCACATGTGAGCAAAAAAAAATCAGATTTGGGCCACATTTGTGCAAACCACAGCAACTTCATTATACCATGATAACAGTTGTATAGTGTGAAAGGAACAGCGAGCGAATGACTTGATGAAAATTGTGTAGTGTATACCTGGTATTACTGGAGTTATATTAATGAGATTGAGATATAATTCCATGCTAAATGTCATTGAGCTGTGCAAGCTACAGGACAGCGTTAAGACTAATCATGTTATAAAAATGGTGCTTGATATTGAAATTGCAATATACAGTCTTTTCTAATGTGGTTCGAAGAGAGTGTTTACTGAAAACATTGCCATAGTGCCTAACCAGCAGTGTTTGTAGTGTAAGATCTAAGATTGTCCTCTGCCCTACTGAAGGTTATGGGTGCTGTATTATCTGTAAATATTGTAGTTATGACGTTAGTAACTATATTTAAACTCAAAGTTTGTGACTTGATTGATATTTACAATAAAACACTTTTCTTATTTAAGATGCATACACTTTCAGGAAACATTTCATGGTTCATATAGTTGCATTCAAAAGTTGGGGGTCAGTAAGGTCGTTTTAAAAGGTTTTTGAAAGAGGTCTCTTATGCTCACTATAGCTGAATTTATTTGATTAAAAATACAGTAAAATTGTGAAATATTACAATTTAAAATAAATGTTTTCTTTTTGATTATATTTTAAAATGTAATTTATTCCTGTGACGGTAAAGCTGAATTTTCACCAGCATTACTCTAGTCTTCAGTGTCGCATGATCCTTCAGAAATCATTCTAATATGCTGATTTGCTGCTCAAGGAAATGTTTTATGTTTGGGAAGAATATGTCTAGATATTTTGAAAGGTGAGAGACCATTTTATTCCATCTTCTGAAACTTTCTAAATAACAGATCATACTGATTTTACTCATCGTGACCTAAACTTGAATGTCATTATTGTTTAATGCTTTAATTCTGCTGTATTGGGACACTTGGAACAAAATGTGATTCATCATTTTATCTGCCATTAGTTTTTAAAATAGCAACATTTCTCTTTTGAAGTTAATCAGATGATCACTAGATGTTTCATTAGTCAGATATCATACATTCATCCTGAAGGGCCTGTTTCTATATTTCACCAGCTGTGACTTCAGACACATCATGCACTTTTATATACATTACCGTTCAAATGTTTGGGGTTAGTAAGATATTTATTTTATTTGGAAATATATTAATTAATACTTTTATTCAGCAAGGATGCATTAAACTGACAAAAAGTAACTAAAGACATAGTATAATGTAGAATGTTATAGATAAATGCTGTTCTTTTGAACTATTTATTCATCAAAGAATCCTGAAAAAATATGTATCACGATTTCCAAAAAAATTAAGAAGCACAACTGTTACTTTGCAACATTAATAATAATAAGGAATATTTCTTGATCACCAAATCAGCATATAAGAATGATTTCTGAAGGATCATGCGACACTGAAGACTGGAGTAATGATTGCAAATCAGCTTTGCCATCACTGGAATACATTACATTTTAAAATGTATTAAAATAGAAAACAGTTATATTAAATTGTAATAATATTTCACAATATTACTGCTTTTACTGTATTTTTTCAAATAAATTCAGCATCGGTGAGAATAAGAGACTTATTGACCCCAAACTTTTTAAACCGTTGTGTGTTTGTGTGTGTGTGTGTGTGTTTGTATACACAAAATGAAACGAAATGGCTACTTCCTTTAATACATGTGTGATATGCAAGATATGATTTTGTCATGTGAGTTTCTGTGTGATGGTGAAAATTCTATAGATATAGGTAAAAATGAGCTTGGAACAACCCTTGTGCTCAGTTCATTCATTCATCAGTGTGGATGCTAGACTAACCAATATTATTTACAGTAATTATATTATATAATTGTTTGTGTTTGTATCTGACACTGTTTGCTAATATTGAGAGAAAACAGAAAATGGGAGAAGCAAACATTTTCCCAAGCAAAAACCACATACTTGGAACATATTTAACATTTTTATCCAAAATAATTTCTTGCTACATAAAAGTAATTAATTAATTCATTCATGTTGCCAGTCCCAGCACTAACAAAACAGTAGACAGTTAAATAAATGTATTTTTTTCCACCCACTCTCAGATGAAGTGGGCAATAAAATGTCCTATGATAAAACATGCTATTGAAATGGGGGAAATTAGTATTATGTCCTTTGAGTAGACTGTAGGAGAAAAAGGAATATGAGAAAAAGGGAAAAAAAGGCTCATTGTATCTTTACCTCAGAGGAAAGGCAGTTTGAGTCTGTTAAATTTTATAGCTCCCTTACCTAACATGTACATACTGTGAAAGATTTGCCCATTTAATCTCTGTTGGAAGATCAGATTACACTTTTGACCCCACAGAGAATGATCTCTCTGCTGGACTTGGCACATATGGAAGCTAGCAGCTACTTTTCTGCTAATGCTCTTGCTCTTGTTTATCTCTCTCCATGGCATGATGGCACACAGATAAGTGGTCTCCAGCCTTGCAGATCCGCACAGTGCTGCTATCAATCCAGGCATTACTAAGCGCTCCCAACCCTGATGATCCTCTAGCAAACGACGTTGCAGAACAGTGGAAGACTAACGAAGCTCAAGCCATAGAGACAGGTGGGTGCTGGTTAAATGCATTTAAAAGTTGATTCTAATTTTTTTTTTCTCACTCTCATGACATTCTTATGGAAGTTTGTTTCTGCCATAGGATGAAAGAAATTAAGATAATTTTGAGTTTGTCTCACAGTTCAGCCTTCTTAATTGCTATTCTGAGAAAATATTGAGATATAATCAATATCTCTTGCAATTCTTAAAAAAAATGTAAACTCTGACTTGTCTCGCAATTCTGAGTTTGTCTCCCTTTTTTGTTTTTGTTTTTAGTTTACATCTTGTAATTTTGACTTTTTCCCCCCTCTGAATTTTAAGTTTACATCTAGCAATTCTCACATTTTTTTCCTCTGAATTTACATCTTGCAATTATTTTTTTTTCCATAGTGGAATAAAAAAACTGAAAAGGGTAATTGCAACTTTTTATCTCACAATTCTGACTCTTTTTTTTTTTTTTTTTTTTCTCTCGCATTTGTGATTTTATATCTTACTATTCTTTATATCTCACAATTAAAAGTTTATATTTAAAAAAAAAAAAAAAAAGTCAGAATTGTTAGATAAATATTTGCAATTAGCTTTTTTTTTTTTAATTCTGAGGTGGAAATGGGCTTCCATACATTCTAAACCTTAATGACTGACTTCTGTGGAACACAAAAGATATTTTGAAAAATATAATGAAAGTCAGTTGGTTCCAGTATTGTGTATGGTCTTCAAAACGTTGTTCTTTTGTGTTCCACAGAGGAAAGTCAGTCATAGAGGATTAGAATGGAATCCATCTCTGTACTTTGATACATCTGTTAAAAAATGCAATGAATAATAGATATTGCTAATATTTATTTGTATGTACATTCACTTAAATCAGAGGTTTTTCTGGGTGCTCAATAAACTTTAAGAGGCTACTACACTGATAATCTGTGTCCCAGAGGCCTTAATCTATAACACTGCTCTTGTGAAATGTCATGTAACTGCTTTCGAAGTACATTTTGATATTGCTAATCGCTTTTTACAGTTGTTATTAATTGGAAAAATCCACACCCATTTTGTTCACACAACTGGAGTTGAAGTCAGCTTTGTGCTGAAGATACCGAGTAATTTATCTCTACAGGGATTTAAGTGCGAGATAAAACACTCGGGGGTGTATTAACTCTGCATTTGTTTGTCTATTTCAGCCCGAACATGGACCAGGCTTTATGCCGGAAACAATATAGAAGTCTAGAAATTTGTGTGGGGAGACAAAAAGAGAAAAAAAGGAAGTCAAGAGTGAACACAACTCCATGTTCTGCCAAGACCTATTCATTTTCATGTAAAGGACACAGTCTTAGGAAACAAAAAATTGATAAACTGTAAAGAATATATTAACACAAAAGTAAAAAGAAAACTTAAGACAATTTGTGATTTAAATGCACATTAGTACAACAAAAAAATGTCTTTGTCCTGATTCACCGCTGTTGAGATGCATGGGCAGATCGACTCGTACGGCTTTCTTTTACAGTGGTTGGGGAGGTAGCCGCAGACTTCTGCTATGAAGCGTGCATTAAAACTGACTGTCATTTGTCTGTCCCCTTGTTTTTTTTTTGTGGGAGGGGGGTAACTTTTTATATTTCTTTTAACCTTTTTTCTTCTCATTGCTCTGTGTTAATGAGGAGCAGCAGACTAGCCCGTTTAGAGCACCCTTTCTGTCAAACTGCAGACTTACCCTGTTAGGAAACCTAGAAAAAATGTATAGGTTCACTAAAACGAAAAAGAGATGCAAGATTTAAACCACATGCAAACAGTAATTTCACCTGGGAAATGGCTCAACTGGAAAGTCCTTCCACCATCACAGAAACATTTAAAGATGTAAACCCTAATGTAGACTTGATTTGTGTTTTGGATTATGGGCAAGGTAGAGCTAGAGTGAAGGAAGATTTTGCGTAATATTTCTTTTAGCATAACAATTCTGTTAATGTATCCGGTTTTAGTGTTTTATGTATCTTGCCATCGCTGTACTAATTGCACTCTTGAAACTCCGTCATTGCGTGCTTTTTGTTTTCTCGTGTCCATCACAGTCCAGTGCATTGAGATTCATTTGTCTGTTTCTTCCCTTAAGCATTTATTTCGATACGCCGTGGCTGCAGGGGAGCTGGAGACGAATGATGAATAGTGAGATTTTAGTAAAGGGGTGAGGGGTGGGAATGTTTGCAGAAACATTGCAAAAGATCAGTAAAGGCTTTGTCTCAATTTCCACGATTGGGCTTTGGTTAAAACATCGATTTCAACTCTGTTTGTAAATTCCTGCTTTCTGTAGAAAGGGGGAAAAGATCATGCTTTTTAAAACGTTATGACAACAGTCCACACACATATTTCTGTTCTTTCTGTAAATAAAATCTGTTGATAAATAACAAATATTTATGGTGGTGGTTTCATTACATTTCCGAGAATGACTAACGCCTTAACTGCTCATTTGTTTTTCCGTGTCTGCTGTTTTCCTGTCTTTCAGAAGGCTTTCATAGACTGGAGAAAATATTAGTCACAGTGTAAGTGCGATGTTTATCATTACTCCAAAACAACCTGGAGTGATCACTTGCAGATTTATTTCGCAAGTTCCACCAAACACATCTTTAAAGCAACTTTTTAAGTTCTGAAGAGGCTGTTGTGTGCCTGTGGGTGATGTCTGCATTGTATTTTATTTAAGTCTGTTCCCCATAACGATTCTCATACAATATAGAACCGTTCTTATGTTCCTTTAGTGACGCGAAATCTGACTTCTCTCCGTGAATCGGTTCACTCACCACTCGAGGTGCTTTTAAATATTGTATTATTTATTATAGACTAATAAAAATGAATTTACATCTGTTAGCTACAAAGTTGTAGCACGTTTTACTAAAACGTTCTGTGTTGTTAAATTATTATCAGTCAAGTCGTAAACAGTACGTTTCGTTTGCATCAGTTCTGCAGTTCGACTATTAAAGTAGCCTGACTTATTTTCGCCGCATCAATCAAATCCTCGCTTCACAAGTCGAATTTATCGAAAGTTATCGGATTTATTCAGTCCGTCGTATTTAATAAGCTAGTCTTTCAGTCATGTTTTGTGAAACGGTTCAGCATCAAAGAGTTAAAATAGTTAATTATTCTTGAAACATTTTCTCTCTCTTTGCACTCTTGATTGTATTAATTCACGGGCACCAGCAGATGGCGCCAGAACAACATCACCACAATCTCTGTTATAACGCTGCAGCGTGGCTTTTGTCTCTAGCGTTACTTTGAATCAATCACTGTCATTTGTATTAAAATGATAGTGATGCAGCATTTTTAATTCTACTCACTTTAATCGCTCGTGAATCAATTTCACCCTTCGACTGTCGTCTGGGATGATGTCTCATTCATATTTTCAAAAAGGGAAACGCCTATCTGTTGATGGCATCTTGGGTTTGTAACGCTGATCCTATTGCAGCTGATTTAAGGCGACTGCGCAGAGCAGAAGAGCCGCAGCAGTCTTCACACAGCACCAAGCAGCCACCATGGTCAAGACGAGAACACCCCAACTCACAATCTCCGCTGTCAAGAGAGGAATTATGTCTTCACCGTGAGGCACTTCTTATAAATGCAAACTGTATGATCAGCCTGGAAAATCTGGGACGACTTTCAGCTCTTGGCCTGAAAGGCAGTTGCGTTGCGCGTAGGATCCAAAAACTAGGCAACCGAGAACACTTGTATTCTTGTTTTGTTCGGAGAAAACCCCACATGATGAAATTTAAGCCCAATCAGACAAGGACCTATGACGGAGAGGGCTTCAAAAAACGAGCAGCTTGTCTGTGTTTCAAGAACGATCGGGAGGACGAGGTAAAGCTGAGAAAAGTGCAAACGTGCTTTGTGGTTTACATGTACTACCACTACTGTCGCCTACAGAGACGTCAGAAATAGATATTGCACGCCGTTTTTAAATTGTATTCCTTGTTACTATCTAATCGGCTATATATTTTATGATACAATGACTTATTCTTTTCATTAATGTAAGCCGAGTCGTTGGATGCTAGTGCTTATTCGGCAACACTTCACAATAAGGTCCCATGAATTAAACTTAGTTAATAACTATTCACCTGTTAGTTCATGTTAATTAATGTTAACAAGTGTATCTTAATCCAATAGTTAGTTATTAGTCACTAAGCAGTGACTAGTAACTCTTCCACTGCAACTTTGCCATTGAATTTTATACCTATCTGTGGTTCAGATATAAAACTCAACTATTAACTTCTGACCTACTCCAGTTTACTAGTAACTATTCAATAGTTAGTAGTATTTTTTCTAAGTCACTAATATATTCCAATAGTATGTATCTATTCCATTTATACTAGTGACTAGTATTTATCCCAGTTGTTACTTGTAACATTTCTTATTTCACTGTTGCTATTTAGTTACGGTTGCTATTTAAATGATATGTTATGACTAATCAAAATGGCTGTTCATGTATAGTTCAAATAATATACTAGTTAGATTAAAAAAAAATACATGCTGGTAGTACTATAAAAGCTGGAATACCAGTAACTAATAATGTAAAAAAAAATAAGGGCAACACTTTACAATAAGATTCCATTTGTTAACATTAGTTAACATGAACTAACAATGTTAATAAAACTAAACGCTTTTATTAATCTCAGTTAATTTTAATTTCAAGACTTAATAAATTTTTTAAAATCAAAAGTTGTATTTAATGGACTTGAGCTATCATGATCTATCATTAACTAACCCTAAGTAATGGGACCTTGTTGTAAAGTGTCACCAAAATAAGTAATGGTAACATAAACATAGATACTAGTATGTTTTAAGGACAGAATGTTAAAATGGCTTGCCATACTTCATCCTTTTTTAACTCCCTAAAGTAAATACGCACTGGACTACACCCAAGTGAAATCACAATGATAAGAGTCTTATCTAATTCATGATTCATGGCTAGAAATATATGACTGTGCATGGAAGACTAATGGCAGGTGTTATAAATGTAATCAATGAGATCAGCTCACTAAAAGCCAGCAGTGAGCTGTACTCCTGAGTAATGACAGCTGTCCACAACAGGTAGCAACTGACCTTCTGCTTAAGACATGATATCTCCTCCAGATCATAACTCGCAGCTTTACCCATTCTCCAGTTTAATATTTTCATGGTTTTTGCTGTTTAAGGTATTTGTGTACTGTTTTGTGTATACTGTTTTCATCTTTTTAAATGTACAGTATCAGACACTGCAGAATAGGATGTTATTTTCATAGAGATAATTTGATTGGTCTGCCACAGGTTTGCGAAGTATTTATTAAAAAGACAGACTCAGTTAAACTATATGTAGTTTTATATATGCTCTATTTAGTGCATACTTAACAAGGTTTTATGATTGTTTGGCAGAAGTTTGACATTTATACAACAAAATGTCTAAAGGATAGTTATAAAGATGATAAAAGATCACCTAAATCACCCAAAAATTAATCATTTGCATAATTTACTCACCCTCATGTATTTCTAAACCTGTATTACTTTAGAATGGAACACAAAAATAAAATCTCTTCTTCTGTTTGACCTGATTTAAGGTTCAAGAAAATTCTTAAAGAGCAGTTACTATCAAATTTATCACCTGTAACATTTTGTGACCTCCTCGAATGTAGGTTCTGCTTAGACTAAAAATACTGTCTATTATGAAATGTGTCAGTCACAGTCGAGGTGTTCTTGACTTCTGAGATGAGGGCTTGAGCTGATGTGGGTAGTGCACTCAGAAATAGCAGGAAAATGCTGTTGAATACACAAATACTCCCCCATAGATGTCTTCTTTTCCTTAAATTAACTTGAAATTGTTCAGACTACTATTTTTAATTACAAAGTTCTAAGCTGTCGAAGTTTGATTACATAAGACATGTTGAGGCATAGGAGCTTCAGACCCTGAATATTCGGCATTGCAACAGGTCCTGGTCTCCCAGGTCTCTCCTCCATGTGATTAGCACTGAGAGGGGGGAGGAAAGGAGGTAAGTTACACTATGTTCTGAGGCTCCAAGTGACCTATCAGCAGCAATTTATAGAACCAGAATGACAGCGCTCACTGTCCCCTGACAGATTCCTTTTCCCACTTTTTTTTTAATCCGTCTTTATCTTTCTAATTAATTCAACTGGTTGCAGTTTTGCTGTTTTTGATCCTCCTCTTTGGGAAGGATTGTACTTCTTTTTTGTGTATTTCTGTTTACTCCTGATCATTTTAATAGTTGAGTATAGGAACTCGCTCTACTGTGGACGTCAGTACATTCCTGTCATAGTGATAGTTAGCCGAGTACAAGCTACAACAAGGCACATCCTTGAGAAGTGCACTAGTGCAGTCCTTCAGCTCGTCTGCTGTTTGTTCTCTTGTCAAGACCTCACAAAGACCCATAATAATAATAGCTGAATTTTTACCTTTTTGCAAGAAAGTAAAAAAGGTATACTTGCTCGTGTAAATCTTGCCGCCATAATGGTCTGGCCTGTGTTTTGGGTGTTTGTGAATCGGTATCTGCATATCTGCAAATTAAAAGAGTATATATACACCATTGTTCAAAAGTTTGTGGTCAGTATGTCTTTTTGAAAGAAATGAGTGTTCTATTTTTTTTATTCAGCAAAGATGCATTAAATTGATCAACAGTGACAGTAAAGACCTTTATTTCTGTTTTAAATAGTGAAGATTGAAGATTGGAGTAGTGGCTGCTGAAAACTCAGCTTTGCCATCACATGAATAAATTACATTTTAAAATATATTAAAATAGAAAACAATTATTTTAAATTGTAAACGTATTTCACAGTTTTCCTGTTTTACTCTATTTTTGATCAAATAAATGCAGGCAGCCATGGTGAACATAAGAGACTTCTTTAAAAAACATAAGAAATCTTTCAGACCTCAAACTTTTAAACCGATTGTTTGTAATGGAATACTAACTTGCTACTTGCTCAGTATATAATGTGTGAATACTGCACAATATTTTTTAATACATAGTAAGTGAAAACGCATAATTCCAGTGTTGTATCAAAACTACATTTGTCGCACAACCTCATCGCAAGTGGCACTCAGTTATTTTTTTTTTTTTAATTGTTCCGAAAATCGCATTTTTGTTCCAATTTTGTATAGAAATGTCAAAAAATCTGGCAGTTTGATCAAATAGCGACTTGAAAAGTATGTTAATTATGCAAGTATTACTTCATCACTGGAAAGTTCAAAAGTTGAGTGCACTGAATTGTGGGATATAGTAGTGTTGGGCGATATGATAAATTTTCATATCGTCCTATCGTCAGCCTGTGAGACCGCCGATACACGATATTATAGTGCTAATTTATGTAATTATTTACTTAGTTTCATTGCGAGAAAGTGAACCAACTCCAGTGGAAGGCTAAAAACAGCCTAATGTTTTTAATGAGTGAATTTGGCAGCTACAGAAAACGAGCAAAGAACGTTACATTACCAAAGAACATCATCACAAGCTCAAGTCTAGCGTGAGTTTATGCACTTTAAAAACACTCCCGTTAAACTCAGTGAATCTACACTATATGAATAAATCTCTTATACTTACATCGCACGTACATCTGCACTTTGTTGTTTATAATGAGAGAATTCGCGAGTCAGAATTCAGTCAGCGCGCGCTGACCAACAGAACTCCGCTGTTTCAGTGATGACTCATCTGAACGCCTCTGATTGGCCATTGCATTCATAAGCTCAGCATAATCGTGTGTAATTGGTTAGAACTAGAGATTGCAATTTTCTTGGCCGATTCCGATTTCCGATTTTTTGTTAGTGTGATCTGCCGATACCGATTTTTGCCGATTCCGATTTTCTTTCTAAGAACTATAATTGACAGCATATACAAACAAAAATCTACTTTTCTTCAACGCAAAGTTTTATTTTAATAAAAAAACAAGTAAAAATTCAGTAATAAAATAAGAACACATAACAAATTGCAAACAACAGCACAAATAAATGCAATAGAATAAAGAGAGCTTTGAAACTAAGTTTTTCAGGTTAAGTAAGTTTTTATTCAGGTAAGAAATACTAATAAGCAACTTCTTGGACAAACCTTATCTAAGTTCTCATCTTGCCCACTGATCTACGTTCATCTTTATATAGATCAGTGAATTTGCCATTGTGATGTCATCTAGTGACATTTAGCTACCAGTTTTAGCTACTTTAAATTGAAAGCAGTTGGCAACACTGATTTTGGTATTTGTGGCTCACAAGCTGTTTGAGACTGAGCGCGCGTTTGTGCGCTCCACTAATATTGATCAGTTCTGGTGTAAGCGCGAAACCTGCGGGAATGACTAAAATAATGCGCAATACAAGCACTATTTAACCGGAGCGAATGAGACGTGTGTGAGAGAGAAGGGGTCGTCGGAGAGAAGAGAGCGAGAATGCGTGGCTGATGTTATTGCCTGTGCCGCTGGTAACAAAACGGATCGGCTCGGAATCGGAAAGTGAGACTGACCGGCCGATCACCGATCCGGGCCGATCATGAGGAAAATCGTCCGATTCCGATCCCTGGCCGATCGATCGGTGCATCTCTAGTTAGAACGGCAATACTGTAAAAACGCAGAAAAAGAAATATAATGCAACAAATAAGCCCTAATATTAATTAGATGGTATTACTAGCCTGATAATAATAATAATAATAATAATAATAATAATCGTCTTGCTATCGTCAAAGGCATCAGCCACATGCGATATCTCTGTCTATCGTCGATACACGATACTATCGTCTATCGGCACAACCCTAGGATATATAGTATTCCACACAGTGTGCTCTGTTGTATTCTATGTATGGAAAAAAAATGCATAGTGTCGTGTGCTACAGCAATAATAATTACGCTATTCCAAACATAGGCCATGATAAATCTGTGGGATTTTTTGCTCGATTTATGATTGAAACAGTGTTACAAAACATGACTTATTGACTTTTCATTGTGACTCTCTTGAGAGTGTGGTTTATATGGGTGTTTACAATCAGAAAGAATACTGCTGATACAGTGCTTCTGAAAAATGTGTTTGTGTTTTTGGTTTGTGCCACTGTCATTCTCTCGCCCACTTATGACTTGTATTGAATGTGGTGGCTTTGCTTGTTTTAGTCTTTGGATGGAGTTGTCCTAAACATAAGTAGATTTTATAACTTCAGCTATTGTTTAAGTATAGCGATCAGCAGTAATTTGAGAACCACATTCACCTCAGGGACTTTATTGCAGTTTTTGAATTGTCAAGCTGAGCAGACTGGTTCGATAACAATAATGGCAGAGTAGCACATGGAGTAGTCATAGCAACAATGTCCCGTTAAATGCGAACATGATACAGCGGACTGAACCTGAACAATGACCCTTAAAACAAACCAAAATGAAACAGCACAGATTTTAAGCCGTAAGGGTTTCCTCCTTTGGCTTGTGAGCTTTACCTTTCAAACTTGCAAATGAAGTGAAAGGTCTTGGTTACCAGATTTTGTATTGACATGCTGTTCTTCAAGTTAGTTATTTAGTAGCTTCTCTGGTACACTAGCACCTGGAAGTTCATGGGTTCGATTCCCAGGAACACACACGTGTCATTCCACTGTAAGAAGTTGCACAATATTTGTGAATCTTGTAATACTTTTTGTAATCTAGTCCACAAATCGATTCCCAGAGATTCCTGAAGCCTCACAAACAGCCCTGACCCTGATGCCTGTCGTGACTGGAAGACAGCCACTGTCTGCTGGTGCGAAAAGATTCACGCTCTCTTCGGTCGTGTTTATGACGATGGGCAACACGTGGCCCTCAGACTCATGCTGGGATTTAACATGCACTTCATCTTGAGTGTCAGTGGGACTCTGAACTGGGTCAGTGTGTCAGTAGATGCTCAGGACTATGAGTGATTTCCAGTAATAAAGCTAATTAATCCTTGTATTATGGGGGAAGAGACTGATTAAATTATCAGACATTAATTGTTTAGGGAATGTTATTCAGAAGAATGTGCTGTTTTTTATGGTAGAAGTCATAGAAATTGTTATCCATTTGTTTTGGCTTTCAGACAGTCCTTGATTCAGAATGTTTACTTTATCCTTGATTTTGAACGTCTCTAGCTGGTAGATTTCTCTATAAACTGTAAGGTTGTGTACCATTCAGAACTGGATTGAGAATGCTTTTAAATTCTAATTCAGTTTGAATTTGAATCAGGGATATTAAAGTTGAATAAAACTAAAACCACCAAAACATTTGTTGCTTGAAATATAAAAAACATTAACTGAAAATAAAACTGATGTTTTTTTAAACAAATGATAGTGAAAATGACAAAAACAAAATGACTAAAACTTAATAAAAATAAAATATAATAAAATATATTAATAAAAACTATAATAGTACTTCAGTGATACTAAAATAATTTTAAATGCGATAACAAAAAAGGATACTTGTAATTTGAATTTGATTTAGAATGGAATGCAAAATTTGACATTTTAAATAAAGAGTTGAATTTTTCATTTTTGAATTTACACATAAATGTTGTCATACATTATTTTTTTTTTTTATTAAATATTTATATATATTTATGTTTGAAATGCCAGCTGTAGGAATGACAGTTGTGGTCATTTTAATTTATTAATTTCATAATTTGTGTTTAATTTGTATATATTTTCTATCACAATTTATATACATTTTACGAATTTATATTTATTAATACCTTAACTTTTATGTTATGGATATGGTGGAAGAAATTTCCCAGAATGCTCTAATATACCCAATGTAATATATAATCAAAATATTCAAATTTTGATGTCAATTAATACTTTTGTAAAGATATTGAACTTAATTTAATATTACAGCCACACATGCTTTAATGTAGATAACACTTTGAAACAGTAGTGCTGCCAGTAGGTTTGTTATCCTTATGGCTTGGTTCTATTCATTTATCAGTTCCAAGGACGACTGAATCAAAAGAGTTATCAGAATAGTTTTTATGGCTATAAGTGGGTGGGGAATTTTGCTTGACATATCACAGCCTAATATTGACTGCTTACTGGAATGAAAGTGCACTAGAAGGTGAGCAACCTTAACGCTAATTGCCTCCTGCTTCCTATTATGATGCTGCATTTTTATGTTTTTATTTTTTAACAGCTCACTGAACCTGCATTAGCTGGCATATTGATTCTTAGGTTTTCCCAATCTAAGGCTATGACTGAGAAATGTGAAGGCTGAACCTGTGAGATTTCTCCACATCTCTCATGGTCACCTGGTCCAGTCGCAGCTGTTTTTGATCCCACAACTCATACCCCAAAGCAGAGCTTGACTCTCAGCAGACAGAATCTGTCACTATGGCTGAGGCAGCTGTTGCTGGTAGTTTATTTATAAGAAGTGATTCCACAGATATACGATTGCCTTCTAGAAGAGTGGTGGAGTGTGACTGCATTCGGTGAGAGTAATGCAGTGGAATCGCAGTAGCTCATTATGGAAGCAGAAATGCAGTTGTAATTAATATAGATTTCAGTGAAAAACATTGGATTTGCCCTATTAACATTTTTGTAAGTGATCAAACCTGTGATTGTCATCTGTCAGATCTAGCAGCCACCTAACAACCACCCAGAAAACCCTAGCAACTTTTTAGCACCTTAAAGGAATCGTTCCCCTTACGAAAAATAAGTTTATTCAAGTGTGCTATTAGTATACTTCTTTTAAACTAAAAAAATAGGAAAATATACTTTTAGTCTACTTTTTATGTACTTCTCAGAAATGGGCTTTATGTACTTCTCAGAAATATATTTAAATTACATTTAAGTATACTTGACTTATAGCCTACTTAGAAAAAGTCTAAATATATTTTGGCTATACTTGTGTTCCTAGAATCCGTGTTTTCATTGTTATACTGTAGAGGGCACTAGTACACATTTTCTGTACAGAATTTCCAAAAAACACAAGTGAAGAAGAAACCAAAACAACAGATGCTTCCACATTGTAATCTAACACGGTAATCAGACATAAAACAGCATCAAAACTGTGTAAAGTTGATGTAATGTCGACCAATGAAGAGGTAATTTGGGGTGAAGCTTTGGGGTGTTGATCGACTCTATCTACGTTTTGATTATCGTTCTGAATCCAATGCATAGTCTTTTTTTCAGCTTTTATACTTCAAAGTGTACTAAAAATGCTACTACAAGTATTTAATTAGAAAACTCAGTATTCATATAAGTTCACTTTTAGTATAGTTGTAGTACAAGCTAAAAATGTTGTAAACTAGTTGTGTACTTAAAGGTTACTACTGTTATACTTAAAGTATACTTAAAAGTATACTTTTATATTCTAGAAAGTGGGCCAATTTAGTCCCAAGGAGTATTGAAATAGTACACTTACAAGTATACTACTAGTACACTGATATTTGTATACTTGCTACATAAAGTATACTTAAAAATATACTTGAACTTTACTTAAGTATACTTAATAACATAAACTTGAAGTATACTACTTTTTGGTAAGGGTCACCCCAAAATGAAAATTTGCTGTTAATTTACTCACCCTCAGACTAGCCAAGAACAGTAGATTTTTAGCTAAAAACCGTGATGGTCCTTAGTAATTCATAATGCAAGTCAACAGCTGCCGACACTTTGAGAGTAAAAAAAAAAGCATTCAGACAACACAAAATTAATACCAGTGGCTCCTGATGATATATTGAAGCGAAACAATCAGTCGGTGCAAGAAAATGAACATTATTTACAACATTATTACCTGTAAACCATAGCCTCAGGCAAACGGAGAAGTCTGATTCTTTTCTTTGAACTGGTTATTTTGGACAGTTTGTTTCAGTGAACTGGTTCAAATAACTGATTCACACAATGATGTAAAGTATACACAGTTATATTATTAAAGCACCCAATAACCATCTCTTTAAATGGTTTTGGACCGCATTGACTTTCATTGTATGAACAGAAACAGTTCTTCAAAATGTCTTCTTTTGTGTTCCACAGAAACAAAGTCATACAGTAAATGATGTCAGAAATTTCATGGTTTTGGTTGTACTATCACTTTAAATTAAATTAAATTTCCACAGTACATGTTGAGGCCAACATTAGAGTGCCAGGAAGGTTTATCAGATGGATGGTATTTTTGCAGATTGATGTACTGTGAGCAGTATCAGGTTAGACTAGTTATGTAATCAAGATGTTCTAGTGTTGATGAGCATTTGGATTTGGAATATCTGACTAAGCTCTGTTTGCGAATATGTGTATGGCAGGTTTTGCTTGTTAGCAGCAGTCGACATCCAGATCAGTGGATCGTTCCAGGAGGAGGGATGGAGCCAGAAGAGGAGCCTGGAGGAGCTGCGGTTCGAGAGGTCTATGAGGAGGTGAGCTCTGTTCTCAAAAAGCTTCTTCAGATAGAGGAGTTCTGAGAGATTTGAATGAACCTCCAAGACTCAACATTGTTATTGAATACCTTGTTAATCATAGTTATATATATTTTTTTGCAGATGAGTTTAATGAATTACCATGCAGGGCTCCAGACTGCATCTAAAAAGGTTGCATTTGTGACCAAAAATCTCTTAAATATAAAGACTTTTATAATGTTATGAAAGACTTTGAATAAATGCAGTTCTTTTAAATATTATATTTATCAAAGAATGAAAAAAAAAAAAAAACAGTTTCCAGCTGAAAATTCAGCTTTGCCATCACAGGAATAAATTACATTTTACAAATATAACAAAATAGAAGACAGTTATTTAAATTGTAATATTATTTTGCAACTTTACTATTTGTTCTGTATTTTTATCAACTAAATTCGGCCTTGGTGTGCTTATGCGGAAACATAAACAAATTTTTACTCCAGTGTTTTTAAATAAAACATGCAAGTTAGCAAGAACTATTAATATGTCTTAAATGTTTTAGTGATTTGGCAAGAATCACAAATTATCTGTTGATCTCTGTGTTATGTATTTATGAGTGTAAAATGTCTTCTCTTCACTAGTTTACTGAGGGGGGTTGCGTCACCAGGTGGTCTGTAGGGTAATGATGGTCCCTCAGGCTTTTGAGGGGCTGTCAGTGGTTCCAGGGTCCTAAATGAGGCCTCACTGGACTGTAGTGCTGTGTGTTTACTTTACCAGCATAGAGACCTTGCTCAAGTTTAAGTGAGTTATGAGTTGCAGCTGTCCCATATCTTGTCACCAGGATTTTTTTGCTTTGCACCATGCATACTGCTTATTGCATACTTAGCAGTATATACTATATGCTGCATACTATTTTTAAAAAAGTAATATGTGACACTGTATAGCAAGTTGCAACCATTTGCGGAAAAATGTCTTAAACGTAGTCAAATAATGACTCATAATGACTAAAATATTACGTAATATTAAAGGGATAGTTCACCCAAAAATGAAAATTCTGTCATCATTTACTCGCCCTCATGTCGTTCCAAACCTGTATGAGTTGCTTTCTTATGTTGAACATAAAAGAAGATATTTTGAAGATTGCTGGTAATCAAACAGTTGGTGGTTGCCATTGACTTCCATAGTAGGAAAAAAAATACTATGGAAGTCAATGGCAACCACTAACTGTTTGATTACCAGCAATATTCAAAATATCTTATTTTATGTTCAACATAAGAAAGCAACTCATACAGGTTTGGAACGACATGAGGGTGAGTAAATGATGACAGAATTTTAATTTTTGGTTGAATTATCCCTTTAAAGGTATAGTTTATCCAAAAATGAGAATTCTATCAAATTCAAAATTCGTCATGCTTTTCTAAACCTATATGACTTTCTTTCTTTTGTGGAATATAAAAGAAGATATTTTGAAAAATGAAAGTCCATGGGGTCGAATGTTTTGGACCCTACTGATTTTCAATTTACAGACAAAAACAGTTGTTTTTAATATTTGGGTGAACTATCCATTTAATATTAAAAACTCACTCATCTATATTCATCTGTTTAAATGTGATTTATGCAATTAAATTATCCATTAAAATGCCATTGAATTCTCTCATCCACACTGCATTCCATTCAGTTTTGCCAACACCTTTGATTCAACTGTTACAGATATCGGAATGAGAGCAATGGTCATGTGATACCTGCAGCACCCTGTAGATTCCTCAGTCGTCATTCACAATATGCGCATGAGCCCATTTTCTGTCATCTTCAATTTAAGAGGCTTCGCTAAATGAATCTTTTCATGTCTACCTCAGCTAATGGTTATGTTGTTCGTTTCAAGGATGGGCTGTGTCATGACATTGAAGGGCCATCGTAGAGGTTGCCAAGAGGGTCATTTGTTGACAGCTGTGAAGCATTGCAGCGACATTTAGAAACTGTGTTCTGTTACCGTTGGCCTCGTCCGTCTGAAATGTACATGTCCCAGAGGTTCAAGAGTCACGATGTTTGGACACTTGCGGTTGCCCAATTTGAATGCAGCATAATTACTGCAGTCAGTGTGTTTTTTTTTATTGAAATTAATTATGGTGCCCCAAACTAATAGTGACATTTACAGCAGAGCTAGACATGCTATCTGCTAATAAAATAAATCAGCCCGGTTGTGAGGCTTTTACATGTTCTTTTAACATGTTGAATTCAACTCAATCATTTCAAATCGGATGGTACAGGTTTTAAATTTCAGTTAACTGAAGCATAATTGCATAACACTAAGAAACTTGCACATCTAAGCCATATTTTGCCTATTTTTTTTTCAATTTTATCCTTCATGCATAAGACTGTATTTTTACTTCGAGGGATTTATATGTTACATAATGGTTTAAAAGGTGTAACTCAAGCCATTCGAGTGTTAAAGAGACCCTGGAGGAGACCATAAACTTGTCTGTGAATTATGGCATGCTGCTGGCTATGGCAACACTCATGGGACCCAAACTACTTCCCCCAGGGGCTTTGCCAGGGGTGGGATGTCCCAAAGATTTTGGCATTTTTAAAACAGACTGCTTGTAAGGAGAAAAAAGGATTAGTTCACTTCCAGAATAAAAATGTCCTAAAAATTTTCTCACCCCCATGTCATCCAAGATGTTGATGTCTTTCTTTCGTCAGTCGCAAAGAAATTAAGGTTTTTGAGGAAAACATTCCAGGATTTTTCTCCATGTAATGGACTTCAATGGGCTGAAGCTCCAAATTGCAGTTTCAGTGCAGCTTCAAAGGGCTCTACACGATACCAGCTGAGGAATAAGGGTCTTATCTAGCAAAACGATCTGTCATTTTCTTAAAAAAAATAAAAATGATATACTTTTTAACCACAAATGCTCGTCTTGCACTAGCTCCACTTCACACATTACGTAGTCACGTTGGAAAGGTCATGCATAATATAGGCGGAAGTACCGACCCAGTGTTTACAAAGCAAACATGCAAAGAAAGTCAAATGCCCTTTACAAAAAAAGGTAAAACAACGATGTCAGACGATTTTGAAGTTGGAGGAGAAAATGAGATGGAGCTATTGCAAGACGTGCATTTGTGGTTAAATAGTATATACATTTTTATTTAATTTTTTTTAGAAAATGGCTGATCGTTATACTAGATAAGACCTAGGACTGCACGATTATGACAAAAATCATAATTGTCGATTATTCCCTTGAAATTGTAATTGCGATTATTAATTACGATTATCCCAATTTACATTGAATGATGTTTATACCATTGTTTAATGCAACTGCATGCCGTATTTTTATATGAAAATAAAAAAGCTGAAAACACTCTAACTGAAAAACTTTTAGTGCTTTTCTATAGTATTAAGCCTCAAATGTCAACTATACATCGGATTGGTTTTTTCTTTAAACTATAAAAAAGTAAAAATATGAATTGTATTATAATACTAAAACTAAAATTAAAATAATGGGGAAAAACCCTTAAGATAACATGTAGAAAGAAAAAAACGCATCTTAAGCACGCAGAATAACATAAGTGGACTTTGAACGATTAATTGCTTAATTAATTGATTAATTGTGGCATCCATAATTGTAGTTACGGGAAGTCGGGAAGTCGTGGCCTAATGGTTAGAGAGTTGGACTCTGAACCCAAAGGTTGCAGGTTCGAGTCTCATACCGGCAGGGATTGTAGGTGGGGGAGTGAATGTACAGCGCTCTCTCCCACCTTCAATACCACGACCGAACCCCCAACTGCTCCCCGGGCGCCGCAGCATAAATGGCTGCCCACTGCTCTGGGCGTGTGTTCACGGTGTGTGTGTGTTCACTGCTGTGTGTGTGCACTTTGGATGGGTTAAATGCAGAGCAGTAATTCCAAGTATGGGTCACCATACTTGGCCACATGTCACGTCACTTTCACTTTCACTTTTCACTTTCACTTAATCGCGATTAGAAATTCGATTAATTGTGCAGCCCTAATAAGACCCTTATTCCTCGGCTGGGATCGTGTAGAGCCCTTTGAAGCTGCATTGAAATGGCAATTTGGACCTTCGACCCGTTTGCCACCATTGAAGTCCATTATATGGAGAAAAATTCTGGAAAGTTTCCCCCCAAAACCTTAATTTCTTTGCGATAAAAAAAACAGAAAGACATGAACATCTTGGATGACATGGGGGTGAGTAAGTTATCAGGACATTTTTATTCTGAAGGTGAACTAATACTTTAAGGATAACCTAAAAAATTGGTTACTTGTGTCATGTTAAATTAATGTAGACTGGCCAAAACTGTGGAGCGGACATAAAAATTACATTTGACCTCATGAAATGTTTCAATTTGGTCCTTTTCCAGCTGATAGAATGAAAGTTGCTGTTTGCTTTTAGGGTTTGTCTAGAGAGCAATGCACATGTCGGGTGACCGTGTCAGATGAGGATACACAGATGACAGAAACACACTCGGGGCATTTTAAATAGACAAAATTTGTCATAGTCCCTGAAATCACCCCTGTTGTTTGTCAGTTCCAATTGTGAGCAGTCGTATCAACCCAATTTGCGGGGTAAGCTAAGGCTAGTCGGGGCGTTTTGCATCGTTTAAATGAAGACATGATGTTCTCTTGTGAGCATTATGTTGTCCGGGAATCTCCTGTGTTGTGGAAACATGCAGCTCAGGTCTCCCGGATCATTGAGCCTGGGCTAATGTTTTGGCCTGATGTGTCAGCATCGGCTGGTAGGGTTACAGAAATTTGGTGTGTTCATCTTCTTGTTAAGCTGCTGTTAACACTGATAGACACATGCTGCAGCTTATGTCATAGCTGAAGTCATTTCCTTTTTAAAGTGCCTTAAGCCCAACAAGCATCATTTATATATTTTGATGTTAGTGTGGCCTGTTAGAGGGAACAGAATTTGAGTGTTTTTGTTAGTTAATTCCATAATATATTCTGTATGGTTTACAGTTTGGGGCCTCAACCATTTTTAAAACCGAAAAGGCTGGTGGGTTGGGATGAATATGCTCTCAAATGCTTTTTCTGTGTCTGTTCCTGCTTAAACAGGCTGGTGTGAGGGGCACCCTTGGCAGGCTTCTGGGGGTGTTTGAGGTAAGACTGCCAAACTGCCTTGTATAAAGTAAGACGTTACTTCAGCTTGTCTTAGCACGCCACTGATACTTAAATAAACAAGACTTTATTTCATAAACATTCATAAATATCATATCTTCACACCTTCTCAATGCATGCTTTATTGCGTTTCACACATTGTGTAGCCATGAGATAATTTTATATTTCTCATTCTGTACAGCAGAACCAGGACAGCAAGCATCGGACCTATGTGTATGTGCTTACTGTTACAGAGACACTGGAAGACTGGGAGGACTCAGTCAATATTGGTGAGTTCATGTTGCCTTCTGTGTGAATGATTTAGTTCAATGTTTCTGTATTTGACATTGAGAGCATAGGTCGTAATTTAGATATTTTTTTAGATGGAAAAATGTGGTTTTACAAATGCTAGAAACATGGTTTTCAAAGGAAAGATTGCTATCAAATAGCACACCTAGGTTCCTAACTGATCAATGGCTCAAATGTGATTCATATTTACTAAAAACCAGCTCAAAAGTGTCATTTACTTTTGAATCGGATCACACTAGTTGCACTGTATGATTTTGACTCACTAAAAAGAACCGACTCAAAAGAGTCATTCATTCAGGAATCAGACTTCACTGATTGTCCTGTGTGTTTCGTGCTGTAGATTCGATTCAAATACTCAGTTTCCACAAAAATATCAAGCAGCACAACTGTTTTCAACATTAATAATAATAAGAAGAAATCTTTCTGAAGAAGCAAATCAGCATATTAGAGTGATTTCTGAATGGACTGGACTGAATGGCAGATTTGCCATCACATGAATAATTTACCTTTTAAAATATTTTAAAAATAGAAAAAGAGTTATTTTAATTTGTGATAATATTTCACAATATTACTGTTCTTACTGTATTTTGATCAAATAAATGCAGATTTGGTGAACATAAAAGACTTCTAATAACAAAAAAAAACAAGAGACAAACTACAAGGTTAAAAAAAAAGTTTACTAACTTTTTGGTTTTATTTTGTGGAACACAAAGGAAGTAATATTGCAGAATTTCTAGAGAACTTTTCATCATGATGACTACAGTGATAAAATCACCATAAAAGTAGTCTGACTTGTGTGTGATATTACAGTTCTTCTGAAGCCATATAATAGATTGTATAATAGATTGGTGTGAAGAACAGACCAGAAATAGTCTGAAAAAGTTATTCAATAAAAACCCTTCTCTCTGTCATCGTTCTCAAATCTCAAAGTGACCTCTTCCCAAGTCTGCAGGAAATCAACAGGGGACTTTATTTGTGTGCAAACAGCTTAGTCTGGTAACAGGACAGAATTTAGATCGCTTTAGACAAGCTTATCATAACCAGCTCATTTCTTTTCCTAAGACACAACTGCTGATCTGTAAGCAGTTGCAAATATGGGGATTTATATAACTATTTTACAAAGCTGTTACGGATAAGGACCAGGTATGTGGATTAGCCACTTAAAACCTTTTACTTACTGAATTTTTGTTGTCAGGAAGGATACACAATAATAACATTTGCCCACAGACAGCGCAATTCAAAACTTGCACTATTTGTAGATGGCGAGGAAAGAAAAAAACTGGTAATCCTTCACTCCCAGCAGCCATATAAATAGACAGAAGTTTGTTCACAGGGAGGCGTGTTGTTAGCAGGGGCACAGTTGTTTTCCAGTTAGCGTCACTACACTCCCCTATCACTGGCCTTGCTCTGCCTGTACCATAGTTTCGGCTGCCAAATAGGGCATCATAACCTCAATACACAGAGAGGAAACGGGTTTACTCGATACAGAGCTGAGTAGCAAATGCAAAAAAGGTCAATAGTCTCAAAGTAATGACCGTTAACCTTCCTGCATATATGACATATATAAAAATACTTAAGGTGAATGTTTAAGTTTCAGCACTTTGTGAGAGACCGTTTTCAGGACTATAAATACAGTGGAATGTTTGTCAGCCAGATAGTTGGGCAGCCAAACGTCTGACAAGTTCACAGTGAAGTTGATCTTTTGTACCGTATTTAAAATAAAGCTATACATTTTTAAACCCAGGCAACAAGTGTAGTTAATAGCAGTATGTCAGAATTAAATGAAACTCTTGTGAATACAAAATTTATTAATTTTCAGTCACCTCAGGCAATGGACAAATGTAATTACACTCTTAAAAATAAAGGTTCCAAAAGGGGGTTTTGTAGCAATGCAATAGAAGAACCGTTTTAGCTTGTCTAAAGAATCTTTCTTTCTTAAAGGTATAGTTCACCCAAAAATTTGAATTTGTTGAAAGTTTACTCACCCTCAGACCATCCAAGATGTACAGGTGCATCTCAATAAATTAGAATGTCGTGGAAAAGTTCATTTATTGCAGTAATTCAACTCAAATTGTGAAACTCGTGTATTAAATAAATTCAGTGCACACAGACTGAAGTAGTTTAAGTCTTTGGTTCTTTTAATTGTGATGATTTTGGCTCACATTTAACAAAAACCCACCAATTCACTATCTCAACAAATTAGAATATGGTGACATGCCAATCAGCTAATCAACTCAAAACACCTGCAAAGGTTTCCTGAGCCTTCAAAATGGTCTCTCAGTTTGGTTCACTAGGCTACACAATCATGGGGAAGACTGCTGATCTGACAGTTGTCCAGAAGACAATCATTGACACCCTTCACAAGGATGCACCTGTAGATGAGTTTGTTTCTTCATCAGATTTGGAGAAATTTTGCATTGCATCATTTGATCACCAAAGAATACTCTGCAGTGAATGGGTGCCGTCAGAATGAGAGTCCAAACAGCTGATAAAAACATCACAATGTTCCACCAGTCTTGTGAAGTGAAAAAGTCCATCCCCTGTTGTCCTCTCACATCAAAATCCAATGACCCATTTGTTCAGAACTGTTTTTAACTGTTTTCACTTATAGATCTGTGCATATTTCTCTCCTTATTCAGACGAGATTACTTTTTCACTGGAGAAATCAATATTATTGATAGAGGACTTGTATTATAGCAGAAAGCAACATTTTGAAGTTGAAAGCATCTTAATGATGGATTTGTTTTTACAAACACGCAGCTTTTCACTTCACTAGGCGTTAATTGATGGTTATGATGCTTTTATCAGCTGTTTGAACTCTCATTCTGATGGCACCCATTCACTGCAGAGGATCCAATGTGCAATGAAAACGTTCCATGGATGTTAAAGGTTCTTCATGGAACCATCGATGCCAATATTAAGGAGCCTTTATTTTTAAAGGGGTCATATGATGCTGCTAAAAAGAACATTATTCTGTTGTTTATGCAGTCAAATAGTTTGTATTGGTTTCAGTGTTGCAAGATGTTATTAAAAATATAACATGTATTGCAGGTCGGAAGCGGAAATGGTTCAAGATCGAAGAGGCGATCCGGGTGCTACAGTGCCACAAACCTGTCCACGCTGAATATCTCCGCAAACTCACTCCTCACTGCGGCCCTACGAACGGCAACACTCAGGAGCCTGCGAACACGGTTGACAACGCCCCCCTCCATCAGACAGCCTCACATGACTGTGGACTGCCCCGTTTGCACAGATAGAACTGCCACCAGAGGGCATCGATGCAAGGGAAACTTGGACTGGACTGGGAAAGACAGTTATGCATGTATAATTTCAATGTTTACTATTTGAAACTATTTTTTAAGTGTAGAAACCAAAGGCTTGTTGTGAAATGCCTGCAAGTTTCTGGGTCAATATGAACAAGGAGAGTTATTTTCATAACTTTTCATTTGTAAACGTGCATTTCAAGCCAAACAAGGTGAGGATATTTGAAGAACGTGATGTTAAGTATTAAGCGCAGATTGATGGAGACGCTTGCTGTGATGGACATTTTGGAAATATTATTTTACAGATGGCTTTAGGTGGAGGAAGACAATAATGGATGTGCCAAGGTTTGATTGTTTTTTTAGAAAGGATATCTAGGATTGTCTTTTGAAATGCTCTCTATTTATATCTAATAGATAACTAGGCATATTTAGGTATTGGGTATATAAAAATTCTTGATGAACCAAATAAGAAAAAGAAAATCATGAATTATAGAATATGTAAATAGTCTAAAAGAATATTTGGGCTGCTTTCGATTATTTTAGATGCCTTCATCACAGAAATCTACCTGTAATATAGGTTTAACATGCTGTGAAGTTGAAGGTCTTTTCACAGTTTGGTCTTAAATGTGAATTTGCCACATTAAATGGTGCAATCTGATCGCTCTTCTTTCTTTTTGCACAAAAAGGTCTAATTTTCCATCTCCTGTAAGGCGGAAGAACTACTTTTGAGCCACTGTCTCTTTAAGACAAGATGGCATTTGGTAAAATGTGAACAAAAGAAAAATATGTTTCTGGTGTCAATGGTCCGTGAAAGACTATGGAATATTATGCTGATTATATATTGCCTGAAGCGATATTCTGAATATTTCAGAAAAAGCGAAGGCAAACGCCCAATGTTAACCCTAATCTATCTCGTCAAACCAGGGTTTTCAAAAGGCCCCAGAAGTGCAATATACATGTATTGTGCATATACTAACAATTCACACATCAAAAAATCAATCTTTAAATAGCTGAGGAGGAATTTTATTTAATTTTGCATACTATTTTGTTCCACTGGGGCCTTTGCAATCTTCCATAATAATTTTTTGTCAGTGAACTTAATGTGGAATTCACTGAATGAGATGGAATATATTGCCAAACTGTTTCATTAAGACTGTAAATGGTAAACAAGCATACTTATCTTTCCTCAGAGGGAAGATTGCATGTTAGGTTGTAAATATGTTTTAATATTAAAAATGTCAGATTCTGCCTAAGTAGTTTATTTAGTATTTGAAGTCTCACAGTTTGTTTTAGACAGGATTAAAGGATTGCACTGCTAAAAACACAGGCACCTCAGCTCTTTACTTGTTGATCAGTGAGGCTTAATGAACACTGTTAAAATGCCTCCTATGTGATTTGAAAGAAGTGACAAAAATGTTTTTACCTGTCTTTGGAAAATCAGAAATACCCTGAAAACCTTTAAACAAAATAAACTCATCTCTGTGTTGTAAAGTTGGGAATGATCTCTGTAAATGGTGTTGATTGGGGTTACAGGTGGAATGATACGCTCAACCCACTGGGGTAACTACCAGTTGGGATGTTAAATGTGATTTGTGATGATTAACCTGTCATATAATGATATATAAACTCAAAAACATGGTTGAAAGAGAGATTTGGCAGCACATGATAACATAATCAGAAAACACCTTTTAAAAAGCTCCAGAGAAAAAGCTAAGGATGTTCTTGGAAAGTCATGTGGCAAGTGCTCTCCTGGAGGCATAGTAAAAAGTATGAGTTTATTATGAGGTTGCAAAAACATAGCATGTATATTTGTGTTCTTTTTAAAAACCACAGGCTATTTTTTCTGGATTGTTTTTTTTTTCTTTCCAAATGTAAACATCTTTATCCTTCCTATAAATATGCTGTAAAAAAAAAGTTTCTAGGTGGGTGAAAGTGAGTTTGGGAACCCCTATCAAAATGCATTAACAGAGCAGCATATGTTTGTATATATCAGTAAAATTTGCACCAAAAAGGCACATAACGTGTAGATAACAACCATTCATTAATCAAAAATACAAATATTACAAAAGGTGCTGTAGCCCTCAGTCTCCTTGATAAAATGAATGAAATTTGGCTTGGACCCTGACCATGAGTTCTTGTGTATGTGGAATTGTCCCAGAATAATAAAAACAAAACACACGAATAATCAATATCTAAATAGAATCGAGTGAGACGACCCATACTCTCAAACAACTTATATATTGGTATATGTTTGACCATTTCTGCATTTCAAAGCTTCAAAAATGTTGTTCTGTCATCCTGGGACCAAGGCATAGCGGACATTATATTTTAGTAAATTTCTCTGAGACCCTACATGCCACAGTTTTATGGATGTCCTGAACAGAGCACATTCAGGGGCGTTTTTTTAGAGATATCAAATGTTTGGAGGTTTGATCATAAACACTCCCTCTCCTTGGTCTTTAATTATGACTGACATTGACAGAATGATCAAATTTAGCACTCTTAGGGAAATATGATAATGCTTCGTAACTGTCGTTTAAATCTGGATAATTTTGTAATTGTTTGTTGTAAATAAACTTCTCAGAAAAATGTTATGGGATTTCAAATCGGAATATGACTTTTTGTTATGAAACAGGGCATAAATTTCATTCATGTCTTCTGTAGAGGACACCAGGACAAACATCATGTTAATCAGGCATTTTGGGGAGACACAAGTCAACATATTTTAAAAAAATGTTTGTTCTCAATATGTTTCAGAATTGTTTTTTTCTGGTTCTCAGGAGGCTATTCGAAATGCTTCATGGGATGCGTAGTTCATGGCCTCATACCTTACTATTGTATACTTCTCTGGTTTTCGAATACTTGTTTACTTCAAAATAATGTTTGTAATGTTGTGTTTAATCTCAGAGCTGAATGGCAATTGTTTATGACACTGAACATAATTTTACTGAGGATTTTTTTTAAAATCCTGATTGAAAAACAAATGAATGGGGAAAATACTTCCGGAATCATGGCAAAAAAGTGGGCAGTCACTGCTGCGCTCGTCAACAGGGAAATAAATTATAGATATATATTCCTATGAAAATATGAGATATTCTTAAAATGTTGCCAAGTTATTACTCCCATTATTACACTTCTTATTCATTATGGTTTGCCCCAAGAACACATTCAAATACAAATTAGATACAATGTATAGATATACGCATATTGCATAAAATAAAATAGTATATCAAATCATTCTGTTATATCTTTCATAACATAGATGAGAATCATCTTTGTACAAAGTTTGGTTAAAAATAGCCTGAAACCTAACAACTGATTGGTGAATAAAAAATAAAACATTGTTTTTGACTATATACATGCCTTTTAATGTCTATTTATCTTTTTGAATAACTTAGACCTGGCGTCCTCTACAAAGGATATAGAATAAACTATGAATAAAATCAAAGACTATAAAATATATTTTTTTCAAAAATGCTTTTTCTCCATTTGTTTCTTATGCTCCAACCAATGTAATGACAAAAAAAAAAAAAATAAAAAAAAAATA